CAAGATCAGGCAACGCTGGCGGGATCTCTTCATCTTCATCAGTAATTTCCTCTATGGTAGCTCAGGGTGTCGGTTCCTTGGGTGGTACAACCAGTTCTACAGGAGGTGCCTTCAGCAGCACTACAACTGGAATCAGGTCCGTCTCCTTACTCTTTGCTTTTTGGAATAAGGGGGGAAGTCCATTCTTCTTTCATTCGTTATCAACTTCTTCTTCAATCTGATTGCTTTTCTCTGTCCTTGAGAGTTCCAATGTTTCTGCTTTCCATCGGATTACTGGGTCCATGGCACGTAGCCAGGGGATCCCTAGTAAGATCTGATCGCGTCGGCCAAGCCGAGTGATATTAAACTTTCCAATCATGGATTGTTTGTCTATTTTGACAATGAGGATGCAATATCGGGTGATAGCGCCCCCTCTCGCATAACTTCCATCTGCAGTGGTGACTCGGAATGGTTTTGATAGTTTGTGCGTTCAAATGTTATGGGCTTTGACAAATTCTTCAGAAATAAAGGTTCCGGCGGTGCCGGAGTCAACAACAGCTGTTGTTTCAATGGTTTTCTGACGAGTTTTTGAAATAAGGGAAATGGGAACGCGAAGTTCCTTTCTGATTCCAATACTTTGTACAAGTCTAACGGGTACATCGGAAGATACTGACATTGATCCAGTCTTCCACATCAAAAATCCTCGGCAAGGTGATGGATGGTTGTATCCTCTTCTTCATCGTTGCTTATCTCCTCTCGTCGTACGGGAATCTTCTTCTTCTGTGGGCATGCCCTAGTCAGATGCCCCTTCTGGTGGCATGAGAAGCATAGTCCCTTCTTCATATGATCATTTCTCTCGGCTTCAGTGAGCCGATCTACTTCCATGGCATTCGGATCATGTCGATCAATGGAAGGTCTGGGTACATATCGTTGTCCTGATGATCTGGTGGCGGTTCGATGGTTTGATCGATACGCGGCCCCCCTCTGGTAGTTGCTGTCAAGTCTGATGACTGCAGCGATGTACAGTGGCTCAAAAAACTGTCCACATGTTTTTGCATTTTTTACTATTTACAATATTGTGTGAGAATACATAAAGACCTCAGTGACATGCTAATACCATATTGTAGTGCTGCTTCAGGGCTTTGGATTGAGCACCACATCGTGAGAATCAGAGGAGATATGGTGGAGATACAAGGCTTACAAAATCATGACTCATGCGGACAGTTTTTTGAGCACATATTAAAACTATATAAATCATCATTTATGACACCATAACAATCATGCCACCATTAAATAAATTATAAAGTGGTGTCATTATGTCATTTTAAAACCATATCTAACTATACAAACCAAAAATTTCCATATGTCATGGTTATATTCACCATGAAAGCCACCCCCCCTGCTCAAAGGGATAATATCCTCTCTCTTTCCTATTCTGGCCTCTCTGCTTGTCAAATTTCCTCTAGAACTGGAGTATCCAAGTCCACTGTGGCCAAGTTCATCAAAGAAAGTCACACAGACAAGGAAAACTTCTGTGAAGGGTGTCCATCCAAGCTCACCTCTACTGATAGGAGGGCTATTATTCAACATATCACTACAGGAAAGACTGATAATGCTGTCCAGGTCACCTATTACATCAATTACACCATCACATTCCCTGTCTCTTCACACACTGTGAGAAACATTCTCAAGATAGCTCATCTCAGGTCAGTAACAAGGAAGAAAAGGCTCTCCTCTCTATCACACATATGCAGAGAGGACTAGCACCCTTCTTGTTTCACATATATACCTTGCCATCTGACCCAATCCTATTTATTGTGGTCTTATATGATCATATAACATGCTTCCAGTCTGTGTAATCCAATTCTGATGGGCTAAGGCAAAGGTTAGTCATCTCTGCATATGTGTGATAGAGAGGAGAGCCTTTTCTTCCTTGTTACTGACCTGAGATGAGCTATCTTGAGAATGTTTCTCACAGTGTGTGAAGAGACAGGGAATGTGATGGTGTAATTGATGTAATAGGTGACCTGGACAGCATTATCAGTCTTTCCTGTAGTGATATGTTGAATAATAGCCCTCCTATCAGTAGAGGTGAGCTTGGATGGACACCCTTCACAGAAGTTTTCCTTGTCTGTGTGACTTTCTTTGATGAACTTGGCCACAGTGGACTTGGATACTCCAGTTCTAGAGGAAATTTGACAAGCAGAGAGGCCAGAATAGGAAAGAGAGAGGATATTATCCCTTTGAGCAGGGGGGGTGGCTTTCATGGTGAATATAACCATGACATATGGAAATTTTTGGTTTGTATAGTTAGATATGGTTTTAAAATGACATAATGACACCACTTTATAATTTATTTAATGGTGGCATGATTGTTATGGTGTCATAAATGATGATTTATATAGTTTTAATATGTGCTCAAAAAACTGTCCGCATGAGTCATGATTTTGTAAGCCTTGTATCTCCACCATATCTCCTCTGATTCTCACGATGTGGTGCTCAATCCAAAGCCCTGAAGCAGCACTACAATATGGTATTAGCATGTCACTGAGGTCTTTATGTATTCTCACACAATATTGTAAATAGTAAAAAATGCAAAAACATGTGGACAGTTTTTTGAGCCACTGTACTTATCAAAGTCTGTTGGGATGGTCTCCATCTGAAAGATGGAGTTCACGATTCCCTTCTTTAATCCGTCATTGAAGAACGTGATTAAGACGGCGTCTTGCTTTACAGAGGCTTGTGCAGCAAGGGTTTTGAAACTGGCGACGTAGGAGGTGAGGTCGCCCGTCTGTCTCAGCGTTCGGAGCTTGTTCATGGCAGTGCCGATGGCATCGGCCGGTATGAAAGCTTCTTTGAATTTAGTTTCAAAGTTCGCGAAGGTCCTGTAGGATTTGGCGGAGGAGTTGTCGACTTCAGTGTAAAACGTGAGTGCCCAGCCCATGGCACTTCCTTCTGTCATATATGCAAGAGCGGTAATGACCTTCTTTTCGTCAGTGTTATAGATTGCAGCATTAAGCGCAAAGTACGCTTTAACCACATACAACCATCGTAGAGCCTGGTGAGGACTCCCATCATAGGTAGAGGGAGCTCTGGCTTTTAATTCTGGGGTGTTGGTAGTGGACATCCTGATCGTCTGGTCGAGTGATGTTTCTGGTTCAGGGGAATGTTGTCGTTCTCTTGCTGAGTTCTGGGATCTGTTAACCTCTCAGATGGAGAGGGTCAATGGGCGACTTTAATCTTTTGTTATGGCAAACTAGGATGGGCATGGCGACAGGTACTCGATAAGAGCATGCCTGAAGCCGGATCTAGGCCTTACAAATGTAAGGTTCTTAAGACAAGTCAGAGAGAGTGTCTCTGGCTCGAATATTGGTTATCAGACGGCTTAGGATTGGAGGTCCTAAGCGAAGGATAGTTCAGGTAAGACCTAGTAGATTAAAGTGAAGTTCTATCTAAGTACATGACTGGGTTTATATAGGCGTAGGTCCTTTAGGGCAGGTACGTACGCGTCATCAGTCGAGTCAGAGATAAGGGAATGAGTCATCTAGCGATGGCACATGGCGGTTGTGATGTAATACAGATATAGAAGGCGGTTAGTCTAATGATGGCACAGCCAGGTGCGGTCATGACATAATACACAAGTACGAGAAAAAGAGATAGGGGGTAACCATGATTGTAACAGCCATTGGTACAAAACTATAATGTCAATATATAACATTGTTGCCAGCTTATAACTACCATATAACATCGTTACCACCTTACTTCTACAATATAATCTCACTATAACCATTGTAGAGACTTGCACCTCTATATCACTGCTATAGGATGATATACCACCTCTTCTCACTGATACTCCAGTTCTGATCCTCAGGATAAGTCACTTGCACTGTTGTGCACTAACATGCAACTGCCATGCACATGCAAACACACTTGCATGTCCCATGTGCCTGCTCTAGGTCCTCTGCTCCAGTCCGTCCACCTGTCCATGTCCTTGCTAAAGTCCACCAATGCATTTTTATTGTATTCTTATCACTCTGACATATCTTCTGGACTGATTACAGTGCTGTAAATGTGCATGTGCATGCTTAAGCACCATTACATACAGATATCACTACCTACTCGCTTTGCTTCTGCACTACAAGTGACGCCTAGTGCCCAATATAGAGAAGGGACTTATAGTTTTTGAGAGATATTATCCTAGCACTCCCCACCTCTGTGTATGAGCAGTAGTTTGCACATTAGAGAAAGTTGAAAGCTCTCAAAAGTCCAGATTTGTGTGCTACCTGCTTAGACATGATCGCTTTGTGCCAGTTTGATTCCTTCTTCCCTGAATTTAGTTTCCAGATAGCTCTTGCCTCTATGCTTTAGACCCCCATTGTGCACACTATGTTTCCACATGTGCGCTTTTACTTCCTATCACCCCAGTGTGCTTTTGTGCACATCTCAACTGTGCTTCTCCCAGTGTTCATGCTTCACATATCCTCTAGCACCCATTCAGTTTCAGAGTCTCCCTCAGTCATTTTGAGGACTCTCTCTCAGTAGCTGTCCTTTGGGTCAAGTTCTGTCTTGCATCCAGGTCTTGCTGTAGAGTTCCCCTAGTAGTAGTCTGTTTCTCCCATAGTCCAAAGTCCTCACCTTCACTGTGGTTGAGCTGCATTTACTGTGATGTCAGTGTCGGGAGGCTTTATAATGTGCCAATCACATGTGATGCACACATAAGATAGGGCTCTTGCACAAACCATCAACATCACATGATAAAGAGTGACTTGGGCATGATTTTGTTGTATAAAGTTAATGCCACTCATAAATCTTACTTTTTGGAAAATATAATTCTGCAGTGTTCTGTGGGTTTGAATTTTGAACAACCCTGCATGGCTGGATTTTTTGAAAAGTTGAATTTGTGAGTGGCATTAAGAAAATGGAATGTTATGAGCTATGGAACGGAGGTTGTGTGTGTGACACACAGGGGAACATTATGAAAATGGTATACCATTCATTCCACAACTCTTCTGGGTGGAAAAATGCCTAAATGCAAGGCAGGCCACCTGAGTAATCTTGGTGGATATGCTGAAATAAACACTAAGAGGACCAAGGTCAGAAAAGCACAAAAAGAAGAGAAGGAAAACTTGAATGTGCAGGCGAGTCTTGGCCAGGTGACTCAGATATGTTTCATTGCTTCTAATATTGTTCTTAGCCTGTAGACCTATTCCTTGATGCTGCAAAGATTATGGCACAGCAAGAATCACCTCTACCACCTTCTATCCCAGCTCTTGACAAAATCTTTACCACAGCTGATTGTGACCATGACTCTGAGTCAAACGAGCCAGAAGTTGCAGTGAATGATGCCAAAAACATTTGCAGGCCAGAATATGACAGTTGTGAGGATGATTGTGAGGGTAGTCTTGATGAGGATGGTGATATCTTTGAAGCTGAGGCTCTAGAGAATGGAATCAAGAGTGAGCAAGGTGTCAGAGTGGGTGCAGCACCTGGAACATGTCCAGAGGGCCCACAGAGCAGCACAGGACTTGCATGGGAGCTTTGGAAAGCACCTGAAGTCATAAAGTGCACAACTGCACTTCAAGACATCAGGAACATACTGAAACCCTGCCAGGACACTGGGAGAGGCTACAAGGACCCTGGTCTGGACAACTGGACTAAAGGATGGCTTGAATCAATGGTGACATTCCTCACACATTACACAAACCCTGTTACAGTTACACCTGCCCCTATTCATTTTCCTTCACTTACATGTGTATTATGTCATGACCATGCCATGCTGCACCATCATTTGACTCATCCATTTCCATAACTTGTATGACATCGCGATTGCTACTGCTGTTGTTAGATGACTCATCCTTATCTCTGACTTGTTCTTATCTCTGACTCACTCTTATCTGACTCATTGTACTTGCCCTAAAGTACTTACTATATATACCTGGTCATGTACTTAGTAGATCTTCACTTTAATCTTACTAGATTCTACCAGGAATACCTTTCGCTTAGGACCCCCAATCCTAAGTCGTCTGAACTGATATTCAAGTTAGAGACACTCTCTCTATCTTGTCTTACGACCCTTGCATTTGCAAGGTCTTGATCGTAACACCAGCCATCACTCTTATCAAGCTGCTGCCGTTATACCATTCTAGTTCATAACAAAAGATTAAAGTGCCACTCCAACCCTCTCCATCTGGGAGGTCCCAGAAACCAGAACAGACAGAGAGAGACGTATCATCCCCTGTAGAAACATCACTAGACCAGAAAGATCAGGATGTCAGCACCCACCAATACCCCAGAACTTAAAGCCAGAGCACCAACATTCTATGATGGAACTCCCCAGCAAGCTTTAAGATGGTTGTACTCAATTAAGGCATACTTTGCCCTTAATGCTACGATCTACAACACCGATGAAAAGAAAGTCATCACTGCACTTGCATATATGACAGAAGATAGTGCCATGGGTTGGGCACTCACCTTTTACACTGAAGTTGACAATTCTGTTTCAAAATCTTATGGAACCTTCACAAATTTTGAGGCAAAATTCAAAGAAACCTTTGTACCAGCCAATGCCATTGGCACAGCCATGAATAAGCTCTGTACCCTGAAACAGACAGGTGATCTCACTTCCTACATTGCCAGTTTCAAGACCCTTGCTGCACAGGCCTCTGTGAAACAAGATGCCATCTTGATTATGTTCTTCAACGATGGGCTCAAGAAGGGAATCGGTAATGCCATCTACCAGATGGAAACCATCCCTGTAGACTTTGACAAGTATGTCACCGCAGCCATTAGGCTCGACAGCAATTGGCAAAGAGGTGCCATGTTCCATCAGAACAATCGTGCCACTACCAAGCCAACTGGACAGCGATACATACCCAGACCTTCCATTGACCAGCATGATCCAAATGCCATGGAAGTAGATTGGCTTACCAAAGCTGAAAGAAACAATCATATGAAAAAAGGACTGTGTTTCACATGTCACCAGAAATGACATATGACCAGAGCAGACCCCAGTTCATTGTGAAGAAATCGAAGACAGTGACAAAGAAGATGAAGAAACAACGATCCGTTGTCTTGCCAAGGATTTTTGATGTGGAAGACTGGATCAATGTCAGTATCTTCCAATATAGCTATCAGACTTGTACAAAGTATTGGAATCAGAAAGGAACTTCGCATTCCCATTTCTCTTATCTCCAAAACATGTCTGAAAACCATCAAAACAACAGCTGTTGTTGACTCCGGTGCCACTGGAACATTCATTTCTGAAGACTTTGTCAAACTTCATAACATCCGAACGCATAAACTCACCAAACCATTCCAAGTCACTACTGCGGATGGAAGTTATGCAAAGGGGGGCGCTATCACCTGATACTGCATCCTCATCATGAAAATTGATGAATGATCTATGATTGGAAAGTTTAATATCACACGGCTTGGCCATTGCAATCAGATTTTACTCGGGATTCCTTGGCTATGCGCTATGGACCCAGTAATCAGATGGAAAGCAGAAACCATGGAGCTCCCTCGAAGTGAAAAAAGCGACCAAATCAAAGAAGAGGTCGATAAGGAACAAAAGAAGAATGGTCTCCCACCTCTCTTCCAAAAAAAAAATCAAAAGACAAAACAGAATCCAGTCATAGTGCTGCCAGAGGCACCTCCTGAGAAATTAGTCACAATCACACTACCCAGAGAACTGATACCTTGTGCTACCATTGAAGAAGTCCCAGATGAGGAAGAACCCCTAGCCCTACCACACCTTGACCCTATCCCTGATGATAATGACGACTCTTTCAACACCAAAGAAGATGTATGGACTTCAAGCTATGCTCCACCTGTACGTGAACTCACCACATATCATCTTGATGATGATGAATTTTTGGTTGAATACCCTGCCAACACTACTGAACTCCGGGTTATCACCAATATCTCCCTGGATACCCCATTAACCAAAGATGGTACTAGTGTTGTGGAGCAAAGACCAATGGTTACACCCCTGTCACGACCAACAGAATACATCAAAACCAGTAATAAGGCACAGCAGTTTGCATTGGCAGCTGGACTTGAGCAAAAGAAGAAGTTGTTTGAAGAGCTTGTCCCTCCCTACCTTCACAATTTCGCTGATATCTTTGCAAAGGATGGCCTCAACCAGTTACCACCTGAACAGCCTGGTATAGACCATCGTATTGAAACCAAACCCGGTTTTATTCCCAAAACATCCAAGGTGTACCTGTTATCAGAAGCAGAGCATACTGCAGTCAAAGCTTTTATTGATGAAAATGTAAAGAAAGGCTTTATCTCTGAATTGAAATCACCACAGGCAAGTGGCTTCTTCTTTGTAGGAAAGAAAAGTGGGGACCTGCGCCCCTGTCAGGACTACTGATACATCAACAACTGGATGGTTAAGAATGCTTACCCTCTCCCACTACCGCTTTCATTAGTCACTCAGTTGCATGGTGCCAAATACTTCACAAAGATGGATGTCCGTTCCAGTTATAACAACATTTGTATCCACCCTGATGATAGATGGAAGGCCGCTTTTACCACAGAATATGGTCTCTTCGAGCCAAATGTCATGTTTTTTGGTCTTTGCAATTCCCCCACTACTTTCCAAGTGTATATGAACTGGACATTCCAACAGGAGATCAATGAAGGATGGCTCGTCATATACATGGATGATATTCTGATCTTCTCAAACGACCTCACTCCTCATCATGAATGAACCCGGCGTGTCCTTGAAAGAATTTGCCAAGAAAAACTGTTCCTAAAACCGGAAAAATGCACGTTTGATGCACAAGAAGTGGAATATCTAGGAATGATCATTCGTCCTGGATGTGTTGCAATGGATATTGCCAAAACTGACGGTATCTGCGACTGGCCTACCCCCATGACAGTAAAAGAAGTTCGGTCATTTTTGGGATTCTGCAACTTCTATCGAAACTTTGTTCCCCATTATTCCGACATCACTAGACCCCTGATTGACCTCACCAAGAAAGATGTCAAGTTTCTATGGTCAGACCAATGTGCATCAGCATTCTCTACCCTGAAAGAATGCTTCCTAAAGCAACCAGTCCTTCGAAACCCAGATCTGAGCAGGCAATTTGCAGTAGCTACCGATGTGTTGCTCATTGCAACCGGTGCAGTGTTGCTGCAAACCGATGAAAATGGTGTTTACCACCCATGTGGGTACCTGTCACAGACGTTGAACCCCACAGAATGTAACTACCAAATTTTCGATCGTGAACTCCTTGCTGTCATTCGCACTTTAACCAAATGGTGTCATTATTTGGAAGGCAACCCCCATCCTGTCATCATCTTCACCAACCACAAGAATCTGTTGTATTTTAGAACTGCTCAGAAGTTAACCCGACAACAAGCCCAATGGCAGTTGATTTTATCCTGCTATGATATTGAACTCCACCATGTTGCTGGAACCAAACTCGCAGCCCCTGATGTGCTTTCCTGCTGCCCTGACCATGGGGTGGATTCCACCACAGATAATACCAACAAAACTCTTCTCCCTGACTCCATGTTCATTTGCCTTCTCGACGTCAAACTCATGACCTCCCTTGCCAACCCCGATCCCTCTGACCCTGACCCCATCTTCAAGGCCACTTCTGACGCCTTGGATGGCCTTTCCCTTCCCCCTATGAAGTCCGCTCTCATGGATTGGACAATAAAAGATGATATCCTTTATTATAGAGATCGCGCCTACGTCTGCCCTGCTGGTCAACACCTTATTTTGGAATGATGTCACAATCACGCCACTGCCGGTCACCCTGGGCGTTTTAAGACTGAAGAATTGGTCAAGCGGGACTTTTGGTGGCCCTCTATGGGTACCTATATCCGTAAATATGTTGAAGGTTGCGCCCTCTGCCAGCAGATGAAATCTGACACTCATCCACTGACTCCACCCCTCATCCCTATCCTGTCTGTTGCCGCTGCTCCATTCACTCAGGTCTCTGTTGACCTTATCACTGATCTCCTTCCTTGTGCTGGTTTTGATTCCATTATGGTCATGGTAGACCATGGGCTTACAAAGGGGGTAATTCTTATCCCTTGTACTAAAACCATCACTTCTGAAGGGGTTGCCAAGAAATTTTTCAAATACATCTACTGCTGATTCGGCTTGCATGAGAAAGTCATTTCTGATCATGGGCTGCAATTCATGTCCAAATTCTCAAAAGCCCTTGCCAAGCTCTTGAAATACAATATAGCCACATCAACCGCTTATCATCCCCAGACTGATGGTCAGACCAAATGACTCAATCAGGAACTTGAAACCTATCTCCGAATTTATTGCCGAAATCACCCCGAAGATTGGGTAGAACATCTCCCTATGGCAGAATTCGTGCACAATCATCAGAAACACGACTCCTGTAACCTCTCACCATTTTTCCTAATGATGGGATACAAACCAAGAGCCCTTCCTCACGTACTCCCTGATTCTACTATCCCTGCAGCAGAAGATAGACTTTGCTCACTCCAGAAATTGAGAGAAGAAGGGCTCTCCTGCCATAACCTTGCTATGCAGCGAATGGCAGAACGAATTCATGGACAGAAATATCACCCATGGAAGATAGGAGATAAGGTTTGGTTATCAGGAAAAAATCTGATCATGCAGTTACCATCATGAAAGCTTGCACCAAAGTGATATGGCCCTTTCCCGATCATCACTGTTCTCTCC